ACTACCTTAGAGTATGGTCAACTACTAGCTCCAATTTATTTATAGACAATCTAATATATCATTCATACAATAATTATATACTACACTATTAATACCTGGTCCATCTGTCATACACACACTGCATCTTTGAGTCTGTGCTACAGCTGGCTACAAATCTGTAGCCCGCTGCTCTTCTCTCTCCTCATTTCTCTTCTTAAAATATATTTGCAGCTGGTTTAGAACAAGTTTAATAGTATAGCCAACTACTAGCTCCAAATCATCTAGAGCCAATATAATAGCCAATTCATACAATAGTTGCTTACTATACTATTAATACCCAGTCCCACCTGTCATACACTCGTTACGTTTTGGAGTCCGTACTGCAGCTGGCTACATATCTGGTTGCTATTCTCTCTCTTCTTTTATCTCTTTAAAATATGTTTATAACTGGCTTATAGCTCGCTATTGTACCTGCTCTTATAGCCTGCTATTGTACCTACTTTTAGGGCATACAATCACATAGGATACTCTCGAGCAGAGCTAGCTGCTTCTAGCTAACAGGACATTTGGTTGTTAAGACCAACAGAGCTGATGACTGAAAACGCTCCAAGTTGCGCTCGCCAAACCTGCTTCGACGATGGCGTCTACCAGGGTGACCGGCGATGCGCACTTCGTCTCGTCGCGCGCGCTAGCTGCCGGCGGCAGTTCCCATTTATTTGTATTGTACTGTACTTATTATAAGTGGATTTGTGGGTTTACCGTACCGATGGATCCTTAGCCGGCGGCGAGCGCGCATATCGTCTGGACCCGCCGGCAGGGGTGGCGTCAACCGGGGATCGAGGGGACATGCATGCGTGCACCTCCTTTCGATCGCTCGCTCGCTCGCTCGGCAGTCCAGGCCTGAACAACGCTTTAGGTGCAATGCCGTTACAGAGTAAATACTTGGATAATTTTTGTTGCCTTAGCTCAGTTAGCTTTATCTTCTACGAGGATGGGTCTTTGTATGTTCCATAAGTTCCTTCTTTGGTTATGACGAAGAACTGGGATTCTTCTCCCCTAAACTCTATCTTTAATATATAATAAATTATGAGTTCTTTTTTTAAAAAAAAAAGATCATGTGTGTGCCCTTAAAGGATGCAAAGTGGTCCATCAGAGTGTGTACGCACGCAGAATATGACTATAATATAATTATATTGTAAACTATAGTGTAATACTCCCTCCGTTTTTTCTTATTTGACGTTCTAGTTCAAACCGAAAGTGTTTTTTTTATTTGACGCTGGCGATTCAGATGCCCATCTTGCGTACCCGAATTTCCATCTTGCCCCTGACTCTTTCTCCATTGCCACCGACGCGGCGACGCCTCGTCCACCGCCGATGCCTCCTTCTCCTCCTCCACCGCCGCTTCCTCCTTCTCCTCCTCCCCGCCCTCGCGCGCCGCTATCGTTGTTACGTCCCGCATCGCCGCTGTCCCGCACTGCAGTCCGCACCTTCCCCGTGGCTAGGTCTCGCGGCAGCGCCACCGCTTCTCGTTCTTCGGCAGCGAGCTCGTGCTCAGCAGCGGCGGCCCGAGGTAGGGTTCCACGGCAGCAGCACCAGATTCTTGTGATGGAGAGGAAATCTTGAACAAGCTGCAGTAGAACACCAGATTCTTTCTCGTCCGGTTTGTGAAAGTCGTCGGAGGCGACAAGGAGGCAAAAGAACTAGATTGATCGCTCTCCGCAGTTCTGTCCGTGCAGCAGGTGTGCCATGGAATTGAATTCTGATGTGTGAATGCAGCTCAAACACCATGCTGCTTATGTGTGTTCTGAACCTTCCCTGATCGCAAAGTTCTGAACTTATGTTTTCCTGTATAGGCGATAGAACAGGGGACAAAGAGGCGGCCCGTCACCTTGACACCTTGTAGGTGGAGCAGGACAGGAAGTGGCCGGTGAGATTGCGCTTCTTGAAGATCTCGACGCGACCATGGATGCGTTGTTAGCTGCTACCGTTGGAGAAAGAAACTATCGTGCTCCCAGAACTCCGGTGGCATATGGCCGGGAGTTGCGCGGCAGCCATTGCGGCACCAACGCTTGGCGCATCAATGGCCTTGCAAATGGCGGCGGTGGCTGAGGCGGGGGAGTTGGAGAGGGTGTTGAGATCGATCTCGAACTCGCTGGTCGCTCGGCGTTGAGGCGCAGGCTTGCCTGCCATCGCGCGGTGGCCGGCGGGGACGGCGCGGCTGCGTTGGAAGGAAGAAGGAATGGAGGGCAGAAAGGACATTTCACCCGTTCCTTAATTTGATCGAACTTGTCTCAGACGTCAAATAAAAAAAACGGAGGGAGTAGTTACTAAATATATCGATGTATTAAATTTTGTAGTATAAAGTTTAGGTGTCCCGAGATATTTTTCTCAATAACTATAAAATTTCTCACATAACCATTTAGAGTAATACAAAGTGAGCACTAATTTAGTGGTGGAGGCATATGCGTATGAACTGTATGGCACACGGGTTCGATTCGCCTTTGCATGAATCTCAGAGTAAATCCACCGGTTTCAAATTTAAAAGTTCTCTCCCTAAAATTCGGTCGATAGAAAAACAGCAATTCTTTTTTTTCCCCTTTCAGTTACTTACAAACAGGGGGCTGATGCGCATAACAATGGATGGATCGATCGGTCACTTGCACGATTATGGAGAGGACCACACAAAAACCTATCCCCACCTTGGCCATCTTCTTTCCCATGATAAGGAGTGGCCGGCTGATGACCATACATGGCGTCGGCATGTGGAACACGATCATTAAGCTAGCCATACCATACCATACCAAATCAACAATAAGGCAATAACTATATATGAACTGCGATGCATCAGCATATATGTATGTGTACGTACGTATTGCACAGGCATATGCAGCACACGTACAGCTTCTTTCGCCATATCTCGGATTCTCGATCGATCATGTCGTTGTATGAGAGCTTTCTTTCTCTGAAGAAGAGCAGAGGCCAAGAGGGGTAAAGGAAAAACAATATGTTGTCGCTGTACTCATGTTAGCGATATTACGGAGAGGATAGCATCGGCAGATGGGCTCCCGCAAAAGGAGGAATGGCGTGCAGCGAGCTACGTAGTACTACGTCTGCCATCTACTATAACACTAGCTAACTGTACCCTGCTCAGGCACCTATGCATGTGAGTTTTTGTAAGAAACAAGGCCATTTCTAATTAAATAAAGGACCGTAGTATCAATATGGTTTAGGATCGTAAAGGACATTTTCCACCTCAAAAGCTAGCCATTGAGGTGAGGGGTTCCCCCACTTATATCTTAGGTCATTTGCCCTTCCATAACCAATGTGGGACTATTCAACAATCTCCCCCTTCACACATTGATGTCCCTCAGCCCCTTCACCGCCCCTTCACCGTATTCGGGCCCCACCGGCCCACGGTCCATCAGGTATACGGGCCCCGCAGGCACCCACGGTCCATCAGGCCTTCACACACTGTGTCTATCGGGCCAGAGATGTTAACCTAGCTAGGCTCTGATACCAATTGTAGAACCGTAAAGGGCCTTTCCCACCCCAAAAGCTAGCCATTGAGGTGAGAGACTCCCCCACTTCTTAGGTCTTTTGCCCTTCCACAACCAATGTGGGACTATTCAACATATGGGGAGGTTAATTTGCGACTACCAACCTCTGGACTAATCTCTAATTAATCAGGATATTACTGTTTGAGTTATCACTGTGCGATGTACTCCCTCCGTTATAAAATGTAAGATGTCATTCGTTTTTCGCGCTGATTAATAATTAAACTAGTAGTATCATGCATGTAAAATCAGTATATTCATATTTAAAAATATTTTCATATGATATTAATTTTGATAGTACATTACAAATAAATAAAATTAAACGATTAAAGTGTAATGTCGGAGGACCATATAAAAAGCTAATACGTCTTGTAGGGGTGAAAACGGTCGGAAACGATCGGAATCGGTGGCATCTCTTCGGAAATGATGCTCGATTGACCGGTAATTGACCATATTTATCATTTAAACTACTCAATATCGACATTAATATGATGCAGAAAGAATTATGAAAAAACAAAATTTAAAAATAGCCAAAAACGGTATGGTCGGAAACGATACCCCATATACGGAAACAACGCTCGGTCGATCGGGATGACCGTTTTCACCCCTAACGTCTTGTATTTTGAAAGAAAAGAAATAGATGGCATTAATTACATGCTTGCGACAACACATAGGGCTTAAATTGCGATGTAGATGGAAGAGACAAAATAAATAGAAAGCCCCCACACGAGCTAGCGAATGGTGCTCATTTCAAGCTGCTAAATCTCTCATTCTCCCTGCACGAGGCAGGGGGAGACAGTGAAAGCGAAGGGATTGGCCTCGGTCTCGGGAGGAGATAAAGAAAGGCCAGCGATCGATCGAGCAGATCAATCAACCAACGGGTCGAGAGGATTTAGTAGTAAAACTTGGTACTTAGTGGAGAGTTTTATTTACCAAAAGTACCATACCATCTAAAGAGAGTTTTGAATCGATAAAGAAAATAATAAAACCTCCAATGTACTCCTAAGATGTTTTAACTTTGGTCAAATTCAAAGTGCTTCTAGTTTAACCAAATTTATAGAAAAAAAAGTAATATTTTCGACCCAAGATAAATTTATTATAAAAATATATTTAATCATTAATTTAATGAAACTAATTTAGTAATATAAATATTATTATATTTGTCTATAAACTTAGTCAAACTTGAAACAATTTGACTTTAATAAAAGTTAAAACATCTTGTAACCTATTTCACGATTTTATAGGTTGGTCATAACGTCTAATAACGATGCATGTGATTGGATGAAATGAAACTAGCTAGCCCCCAAACTGCACAATTGTACAAACATGATGTATGTGAATGTTATATTGCCATGTCACCAAATTTAACTTACATGCATGATATCTTTATTTATTATTGAATGAAACTCCGATGAAATTACCATTGGGATTGGTCTTTAAGGACGACGGGAGAGAAGAGAGATCGAAACCAAAGCTTGTGCTATATCTTGCAGTGCATAGCCAGTACTGTCACTCAGCCTGCAGTTTATTGTATAACTGTGCAGTTCCGAAACAAACAAGCCAACAGCCCATGTGGTCGTCTCCTTCCCATAACCTCATCGATCACAAGGACCAATGGATATTCCCCCCTTTCATATCATTTATCATATGCCCTTCAATTCCCGAGCTCTCTCACTAACCAGCTACTACTAGTTTCCCACCAATCAGTGCTCACTGCTCACCTCAGTCAGTCAGTAGTTCAGTACAGGCAGCAGCATCAGCAGCAGCTTCTTCTTCTTCTTCGATTGGGTTCTTGATCGTCGTCGTCGTCGATCTGTGCCTGTATGTACAAGCTCGCTTGTTTCATGATTCATGGTGTTGATTTATTCATGGCGACCTATGGCGTATCTGCAGGAGGAGAAGGACGAGAAGTACGTGGAAATTAAGTGAAGGTCTCAGAGACGGCGAGAAGTATGTGGGAGTCGGAGAGCGAGAGCCACGGCGGCGAGCGGGGGCTCGTCCCCGTCGGCGGCGGCGGCGGCTCAGGCCGGCACGAGGCGGCGCTCAAGAACGACGGCTTCGTCCGCAGAGACCGGTCTTGGTACGTACTTAATTAGTAACACTAATTACTAGTGGTTAATTAATTAAGCTGAATCTCGCGTTCGTACATGTTCCAAATTTGTTGCTTCGTTTTTGAGCAGGTATGTCAACAGTGACATCCCCAGCGATCTGCTCGTCAAAGTGGGAGACGTGAACTTCTACCTTCACAAGGTATACAAGTTGGGTCGCAAATAAAATCCTGAGAGTTTCTTGATTGGTACTCATGCTGCAACTAGCTAGTAATTATCTTAAACATACTAGTTTTGGTTAATAATGAATAATGAATTAATAATTAATAATGAATCAAATGATAAAAAAAGAATTAACAATTACTTAAAGCTTTTAATAAAACGAACGGTCAAATATTTTTTAAAAAGTTAATCGCGTCAAATATTTAGACACTGAGAGAGTACTAATTAGCTTGTTAATTTGGTTGATCACGATGGATCAGTATCCGATGATCTCCCGGAGCGGGCGGATGAGCCGCGCCGTGTACGAGTCGTCGGCGGCAGATGAGGCGGAGGCGGACGCGGCGGCGGCGGTGGCGGTGGTGGAGATGGGCGACCTGCCGGGTGGCGCGGGGTCGTTCGAGCTGGCGGCGCGGTTCAGCTACGGGATGGCGGTGGACCTGACGGCGGCGAACATCTCCGGGCTTCGCTGCGCCGCCGAGTACCTGGAGATGACGGAGGAGATGGAGGAAGGGAACCTCATCTTCAAGACGGAGGCGTTCCTCAGCTACGTGGTGCTGTCGTCGTGGCGCGACTCCATCGCCGTGCTCAAGAGCTGCGAGGCGCTCTCGCCGTGGGCGGAGAACCTGCAGATCGTGCGGCGGTGCAGCGAGTCCATCGCCTGGAAGGCGTGCGCCAACCCGCGCGGCGTGCGCTGGGCGTACACCGGCGCCGGCGCCGGCAGCGGAGGAGCGCGCGGGGGCCCGGCGGCGATCAGGGGAGGTGGCGGCTCTGGCGGCACGGCGAGCCCGCGGTGGAACGTCGGTGGCGGCGGAGGGGGGGAGTCGAAGGAGTCGAGCCCGAGCAGGCAGGCGGTGCCGCCGGCGGACTGGTGGTTCGAGGACGTGTCCGTGCTCAGGATCGACCACTTCGTGCGCGTCGTCACCGCCATCAAGGTCAAAGGTAATTAACACAACACGATTACAAACAATGTTTATGCTTTTTTTGAGCCTGCATTTCTCTACAATTTCAGCCAGTGGGATTTCCGAAAATTTTCAAAACGAACTTCTTGAATTTTGAAATGATTTCCACTGAATTTGAACCTAAAATTTTCTGGAAATAAAATGTTTTGTAAATTTTGGTGAGGATTTTTTATACCCAAACTTGAGTGGATTCAAGACGATCTGTCTTCTTACCGGAGTTCTATTCTGGACGTACATATCTAGAGATTTTTGCTAAATCTAAATCAGTTTACGACAAACTTCAATTAATTGAAAAAAATCAAGTGATCTAAAATTTTATCTGGTTCAAAAAATTGTCAAGGGTATCGAAGATTGCAAAATTTCTTGAGATACCTTCAAATTATTAGCATGCTTCTGCTTCTTCGACCTCCACTTAATTGATGCGGCTCTCGCAAGGACGTGGCTTCGAACAATACCGAGCCTTTTTAGTTGATAAATCATGTGTAATCGATGGATCGACGGATAAGATATGATACCGCGGTACCGTCTCCTTATAGCAATGGCTTCTCTTTTTGCTATCTCTCAATTGCCGTCAGATATAAAGAGGTAAATTAATGGGGGTGAGGCTTCTCTAACGTACGTCAGAGGGATATGCTTCAATAACTTGTGGGCCTATGACGGTGGCGGTGCACCTATTATGGGTACATGTCCCTCTGACTTTACGTTAAAGAAGCCATATCCAGATTACTGGTAGGGGCCAACCTTGTCCACTCCAGCTAACACATCATTTTGAGTGGGCAAAAGATCAAGTATATATATAATTTTGGGTAACTACATGGCAAATCATATATTTTCCATTATATATACCATACAACATGATTAATTTGTCTTGCACTAAAAGATTCTCCGGTAGGGAAAATAGAATTTGATGGCAACTCAAACTATATCTACAAGTGTTCTTGAATAGTGAAACAGTGAGGCATCATATGATTTGCTTAAGCAGCAATCTAAGGGGTTCCCACAAAGTTCCTTTATAGCCTTCCCCATCAAAATTAATCCTGATGCAATTTATCCCTACCAAAATAAATTGGATTAATTAGGATTCGACAAGCATCCTTGCAAGCACAGGCCCCATGAAAGCTCAGGATAAATATGTGAACCTCACTAAATTTCAAATTTCGATTGGAAGTATACAAGTGAGCATTTCTGCTATTAGAGGATGCAAAAACATCTACTACTAAAAGAACATTTCTACGGGCACCTAAAATGGCCTTTGCACGGGCAGAAACTGCCTATGGAAATGTAGGGTGTATTTGGTTACCGGTGACACTTTACTACAACTAAGAAGGTAGTGACAGCCACAATAAATTGCTAGCCACAAAATATAGCAAAGTTGACAAAAAAAATTGAGCATATGACGTGTAGAACATACTATTAAAAAAAATGTGTCAAACCATAACATGAACCTAATAAACTATGGCTGTCAAAAGTGTGGCTATGAAGTAAATAGACCATTAGTTTGAAAATATGGTGTATCCACGATAAAACTATAATGGCTACAGTTAATTATTTTGAAAAAAAAAACTGCACAAGATAAGTGCATGCTAACAATTGTAAAAGATTTACCCCAGACATTAACAAATTTGCACGGTGCATATACAGTAGCTGAACTGTTTCAAGAATTCCATCAACTAAAAACGTAAGTTTTTTTTTTTGACAGGCATGCGGTTCGACCTGATCGGCGCGGCGATCACCCACTACGCGTCGAAATGGCTCCCCGGCCTCACCAAGGACGCCCCGCTCGGCGCCACCCACGACGAGCCGTGGGCGCAGGCCTCCGCCGCCGGCGTCGGCGGCGGCGGCCTCCACATGATGATCATCTCCGGCGCCGGCGGCGGCAAGGACGACGTCCTCGCCGCCTGCAGCGCGCCGTCGCGCGAGCAGCGCATGGTGGTGGAGAGCATCATCAGCATCACCCCGCCGCAGCGGGACAGCGTCTCCTGCGGCTTCCTCCTCCGCCTCCTCCGCCTCGCCATCATGCTCAGGGCCGCCCCGGCGCTGGTCACCGAGCTCGAGAAGCGCGTCGGGATGCAGCTCGAGCAGGCGGCGCTCGCCGACCTCCTCATCCCCTCCTACGGCGGCCGCGCCGCCGACACCGCCTACGACGTCGACCTCGTGCAGCGCCTCGTCGAGCACTTCCTGGTTCAGGAGCAGACGGAGATGGCGGTGGCGTCCAGCCCCGGCCGCGGCGACCCTCCGCCGCCGCCGCAGCCGGAGTACTACAGCGGGAGGATGCCGCCGTCGTCCGCGGCCGCGGCGTCGGCGTCGGCGTCGACGGGCGGGCTGAACGCCAAGGCGCGCGTCGCCCGGCTGCTCGACAGCTACCTCTCCGAGGTCTCCCGCGACCGCAACCTCTCCCTCACCAAGTTCCAGGTCCTCGCCGAGTCGCTGCCGGAGTCGGCGCGCGCCTGCGACGACGGCCTGTACCGCGCCGTCGACTCCTACCTCAAGGTAACTAGCACATTACAGCTAGCTAGTTTCCGGTGATCGCCGGAGTTAATGGCGATCGATCGATTTGCAGGCGCACCCGACGCTGACGGAGCACGAGAGGAAGAGGCTGTGCAGGGTGATGGACTGCCAGAAGCTGTCGTTCGACGCGTGCATGCACGCGGCGCAGAACGAGAGGCTGCCGCTGCGGGTGGTGGTGCAGGTGCTCTTCACCGAGCAGGTCAAGATCAGCAACGCGCTGGCGAGCTCCTCCGCGGCGCTCAGGTCGTCGTCTTCGGCGCCGGGGGCGGACGCCGCGCCGGCGATGCCGACGACGCGGCGGCAGCTGCTGGACGGGACGCCGCAGTCGTTCCAGGAGGGGTGGGCGGCGGCGAAGAAGGACATCAACACGCTCAAGTTCGAGCTGGAGAGCATGAAGGCCAAGTACCTGGAGCTCCAGCACGAGATGGACGCGCTCCAGAAACAGGTGGACGGCCGCGGCGGCGGCGCGCCGTCGCCGGCGGCCGCCAAGATCGGCAAGCAGCAGCAGCAGGGCACGTCGGCGTCGGCGTGGAGCAGCGGGTGGAAGAAGCTGGGCAGGCTGGCCAAGATGTCCGGCGCCGACGCGGCGGCCGGTGGTGGCGTGGCGCCGCCCGGCGGCGGCGAGGCCGCGGCGAGGAAGGGCCCGAGAAGGTGGAGGAACTCCATCTCGTAAATGGAGTAGCTGCCTAGCTAGATGCTGTATGGTTGATTGGTTTCAACTTTCAAGTAATTTCATGGGTCTTTTGTATTTTGAGAGAGTCCATTTTGCTCAGTTTGATGTAGTGATGTTCATGGCGTTTTCAGACAGAATTAATCCATTTTATGCAGAGTCTGAGGACTACTCAAGCAGATGATTTTAGCCGTTGTCTCCTATTTGTCTTGAGAAACAATCGGTCTTCTTTCAGCTTAAATTTGAATTTTAAAACTGAATTTTAGAGTTGATTTAGGTCTTTTTTAAACCGTAGTTTATTTTTCAATTTTTACTTTTAAATCGTTAAGGACATGTACGCACGCACGCACATTATTTTTTGATTGCTCATAAGCCATTACGGCTTATAATCAGCGTATGCTAAACGATGGGCTAAGTTTGTTGGAAGATCAATGTATTAGTTCTAGAACTTTGAAATGATTCTTGCATATATAGAAAGAAATTTGTTTAATTATTTGTCTTTGTAGCTAAAGTGGTTTAATTTTTAAGCCGGCCGTTTACAGATGGAACTAATCGAGCGCGACGAACTGTATTAAGCCTCCCCCTGCACATGCCCGCTTGATTATTTTTTTTTCGTGTGTCTGTGCATGAGCCTGCCAAGCACCATCACTACACAACGCACCGGTAAGGAGGCAATATACTGCTGTGGGAAAAAAAAAACTGTTGCATGGGTAGGGTTTTGTGCCTATAGAACTGTAGCTTCTAGCAAGTACTTCCTCCATAAAAAAAAAGAAAAAGTCCATTTTACACCCTCGAACTCTTATGCTTGTCTAAAATACACCTCCGAACTACAAAACCGGGTGTAATACACCCTCAAACTGTCAATACCGGACACTTAACCCCCCCTCCCGGGCTGTTTTTACCGTGGTTTTTGCCACATCAGCCCTCGCCACGTCAGCACACAAGGTAATATGGGCCAAGCCCATACTTTGTTCGTTCTTCTCTCCCTCCCCTGTTCGCTCTTCTCTTCCTCACAACCATTGGCGGCAGTGCACGGAGGTGCGAGGGTGGCGGTCACGGCGATGGTGGCGTGGAGCTGCTGCGAGGGTGGTGGTGCTGCTAAGTTTCAAAATGAAAACATTTTATGTTTTTGTAAATGGAACCTGGTAGATTGAAAAAAATAGAGAGAGTAGAAGAATGCATCACTTTGAGCATTTGATGTATTTTCTTTGTTCCTCGAAATTCGCACAAAGGAATCGGCCACTAAACTAACCTGCTTAGCCGCAAGAAGATCGGCCCTCTTACGGCACAGCACCACCTGCAAACAACCAGCATCAATCGTCTCAAACACAATCAATCTTCCAAAGCACGACAAAAATTTCCTGTCCTTCCACAGATCAACAACGGGAACCGCCTTTCCTCTTAGATCAAACACCTCCACTCCATGTAGAGATTTCGCGAGCTCTTCCACCGGTGCCGCAGCTACCTTCGGCCTCCCCAGTCGTCCCTGCAAATATCATCGCACATATTAGCGGTTCAGCACCATGCACGCGAGGGGAAGGAGGAGCGGGGCCTGGAGGCTTACCGGCGGCCCCGGGCTTTGCGGCTGCTACCGGCGCAACAAAGAAGCGGAGGCGGCGCGGGTGGAGGAGGGAGCCGCACAGGCCCCTCGCGCGGAGGAGACTCGACGCCGCAGCCGGTCGCGAGCTGGTGGCGGCCACGTGCGGAACGGGGAGCCGCCGCTGCAGCTCCGCCCTCGCAGCCGTCACTGCCCTCGCAGCTCCGCGCCGCCACCGCAGCCGTCGCCGCCGCCACCGCCGCCAACGGTCGTGAGGAAGAGAAGAACGAACAGGGGAGGGAGAGAAGAACGAACAGAGTATGGGCTTGGCCCATATTACCTTGTGTGCTGACGTGGCGAGGGCTGACGTGGCATCCGACGTAGTAAAAACCACGGTAAAAACAGCCTGGGGGGTTAAGTGTCCGGTATTGATAGTTCGAGGGTGTACTATACCCGGTTTTGTAGTTCGGAGGTGTATTTTAGACAAGTATAAGAGTTCGAGGGTGTAAAATGGACTTTTCCCAAAAAAAACTAATTTAGTATTGGATGGGACGTTTTCTAGTACAACGAATTTGGACAAGAGTATGTTTAGATTTGTTGTACTAGAAAATATCACATCCAATATGAGGTTGGGTTTTTATAGGACGGAGGAAGTATTGTACAGTGGCCTCGCGTAAACCCTATACCAGTATTTTGTTACTACAGAACAGATGACAAACCTCCTCTCCTCCTTTACACTAACCTCCAATATCCAAACATTTTTAAAGCACCAGAATTTTCATCCACGGTAACTTACATGGCTTTTGCGTGCCTACCATTATATGCTTGTAGTAAGAGGAATTTCATATACTTGAAAAAAAATATCTTGAGGTTACACTAAAATTTTTTATACTTTAAGATATTATAAGTACCTAGAGGTAACAAATTTTACGCTAAAAAATATATTACCTCTGGATACCTTCGTAAGGATGGTAAAATTACCCTTTTACTAATGTTTTCCGTGATATATTTTGTATTTTGTAAAGAGAAGATGCATTATTGCAAGGACATGATGTTTTTTTTTCTCAAGTACTTATTCAGCGATCAACTATTGTTGGCCATTGGATGGATCAACGGCATCAACCCGAACAGCTGGACCGTCCTTCTGCATAATTCACCATTAGTGGCATTGGAGCATTGCGAGTAGGAGAGAGGCGGCGAGAAGAAGACAAACACTTCCATGTGTTGTGTCCACGGGAGTAGAAGCTCCATGGTGATCAAGATGGAAGGGCAAGGAAACAGTGTGAAGGATAATGGTTGTTGGGTTAGTTGTAGGGACGAGGGAGAGAAGGGTTAAGGGCAAAAACTTGGGGGTGGCATGGTGTGGAGAATATGGGCAGAATCATATCCAAGATCATCAGATTAATACCACAATCAGCGGAATATTTTCTCGGACAAGAGTAGGGTATTACTTCTTATCAAGAAGATCTGAACCTGTATAAATCCCTTGTCTCATAATCCATCCACTTTCATAGCTTGATTCTAATTTCGACACATGGTGAGGATAGAGCCAACATGTTTCACCTTCACTGGTTAGGAGACACAAAGCTACGTACGGGGTAGGCCTAGTGGCGGAGCCTGGAAGATTTTTGAGTGTGGATAAATTTCAATATAATTTATATTTGTTATAGAAATCCCATCATCAATTTACTCATCAATATTAAAATTTAATAAAGTTTTCACCACGAGCCCTAGCGGCTGTCCGGGCTAGCTAGGGTAGCTTCATCACGGGGTAAGGCTGGAGGAGTAGAAGGTGGTGCGGGAGGTATCAAAGGTGTTAGGAGGAACTCAAGTTGTGGGTCATTAGAAATCTCTAGGTTTGAAAAGAAATGACAACTATGGGGAAAAAACAATAAATATAATAAGGTATCCAACATAAATAATAGATTGCATTAGTTGCATGTATATCATGACTTCTAATTTATGGCTTTATTTCCCTTTCGAAGAATGTGGCATGTCCACAAATGTGAATGAGCAGATAGGACAGTTTTTTTTTTACTAACATGTAAAAAGGATTTATGCATCAATATATCAAGACAATCAAAGTTTAAATAACACATCCGTTTCTAAATAATTGTCACTAGATGCTGTTCATATTTATATTCAAAGTCTGTCCACGTATATTTTAGCAATAATTTATAAATATAAAAAAATGTACCCTCTCTCAAAAAGAAACGTACTATGTTATATTATGAAAATGTGTTGATGCTAGCTAAATATGATTATATAATGTCCATTTAACAAAGCATAACAAATTGAAATATTATTAAGAGTAAATTTCAGAAAAGTGCAACTTTACTGACAAAACTATCAGTTTGCTGCAACAACAGCATAGGAAAATTTTACAAAAACTATAACTTTTACGTTATATACAGTACATATAATGTAAAAGTTACAGTGTTGTAAAAATTTCTCATGCTATTGTTGCATAAACTGAAACATGTCGCTAATGTTGCAGCAAACTGATAGTTTTATCACTAAAGTTACAGTTTTTCTAAAATTTACTCTATTATTAATGATGAAAGGTGAAACATCAATAATGATGACAAGTAAATAAAAACAGAGGGAGTACAACCTAGCCCCCTCGGCAACTACCGAAATTTTCAAGAATATGTACCATTACAAGTCATCGTTGTTTTTCTTTTTAACGAGTTGCCATTACAGGGTACAGAGCTCCTACAGCTCCATAATAAAAGAGCAGGGAAACTGGGGGAGCGGGGGAATGAGAGGCAGTAGCATCAGGCTAGAATAGTAGCACCCGTGAGCCGTCTCTGGTACAGCTCCAAAAATTTATGGAGGACTGGGCCGGGTTGGGATCGATCGGCATCGGCACACACAGACACACAGTGCCCCTGTCCGTTGGTGGAAAGCTCATCCTCCTCCTGTAGTTCCTGTTGCTGGCTGCTGCTGTACACGCCATATGCCGGGCACATTCATGAATCATGAAGCACCATCTCCTGTGCTTTGCTCTTTGTCTGCATACGGCGACCGTGTCGACACCAGCAGCAGTCCCAGTGTACCAACTGTTGCAGCGGTTTTCTCACACTCCTGTGCACCATGCCAGCATGTGTTACATGTGCATTACACAAACTTTAAAATGTTGTTGAAGATTTTTCTTTAAAAAAGAAAACTGCTCAAGTTCCTGTAGCGGCCATGGGTTTGTGGCTGTCCAAAAATTAGCCAAAACTTAAAAGCTATCAAGTTTAAAGCATATATATGATTAGTACGAAATATGCATAATTTCATGTTATATCACCATATTCATATTCACTATATTCATGTTATATTACTATATTCATATTTTAAAGTACTTTCATATAATGTTAATTTCATATTTGTTGGAAACATAACATAAAATAAATTAATGATTAAAATATATCATCGAAGACCGTGTAAAAAAATATAGACCTTATAATTTGGGATAGTTGAAGTATATTTAAGGATGGACGGAGTACTCGGTAAGCAAGAAGCCAAGCAGCAAAGGTTCTGATAGTAATGGTCATGGCTTGGCTGCAAGCCTGCAACTATCCTCTAGCTTGTAGGGACTGTTTAAGGGAGCTTCTAGCAGCTACAGTTTCTCTTAGAATCTCCAGTTGACACTCTAGCTTGTAGGGACTGTTTAAGGGAGCTTCTAGCAGCTACAGTTTCTCTTAGAATCTCCAGTTGACAGAAGCTTTTTACTCAGATTCTGAGAATCCGTAGTTCTAGAATATGGAAAATAAAGTAGAAGCCAGAAAATGAAATAGAAGTCAGAAGTTGAGAAACCCAGCTTCTCTAGATTCTCACCAGCTGCTTCTCAAAATCTCTCACCAGCTGCTTCTCAGAATTTTAAGCTCCTCAAACAGACCCAGCTGCTTCTCAGAATTTTAAGCTCCTCAAACAGACCCGTAGTATGCTGCAGATTTGCATCAAGTGCCTAGCCGTGTCTGCCTGTCCTGGGCCAACACGATAATGGGGAAATTGGAGAGCACATCGGCTAAGGAAGCCACAATTACTTACAGTGATCAACTAAATATTACTTTCTGAGTATTATAAAGCTAGAAATAACCTAGACAAATTTTCCAAACAATGTTCCATTCAAAAAAAAAACAAAGTTTCTAAACAATGCTGATGTTCTTTTTTAAAAAAATAATACTTTTCCATGGCACGAATAATCGATAGCTTCATAAGCTAATTACAACACGCAAGGTCATTAGATATTCAATAGCGGCATCAGAAATAACTGAATTCTCCCAGCTGCGAGGCATTTATAATCTCACCAAATCATCCTATTTGCACATCATGTTTACGAGAAGCATAAGTAATAAGCTTAACAAACCTTCTCCTAGATAAGCATCATGTATATGACGATTAATCCTAGAAGTTGTACCAGTTGCAGAAGGAAGGAAATAGTCGCACATCACATAGCTCAGTTTTATTAGCGAGTCAAAATTTCTTGAAAGAATAAGAACAACTCTTATTTTGTCTACAAGCTTTTTAGGTTCTACTCGGTACTCACTGACACAAATCTGCAGGTACCATTTCAGGTAATACCTGCTGTCTCACCAACTTCTTTATGGCCATCTATAAATATCTCATCACACGCTACTATGCTTACTGGACCAAAACCTCGTTTTCCATTGGAGGAAACAAGAGAGAAGCCTCTCATCAACTCACAAGCTGCTGGTTACCGTAGTAAGGGTAGGCTCCATATGCTGCTGCATACATGTTTGGGTGTGGAAGTGGCGACGCATAGCCATATCCACCGTAGAAAGGTGTACCGTAGTACATGCCATTGCGCCGGTGGCCGGAATCACCCCTAGACTGAAAAAACAGAAATTCAAATGTGTGAGCAGAAGAAATTAGCTCAAACACCTCTATTTTACTTAACAGATGGTGGGTAATGAATAGAGATGATAACAATATCCATACGTATTGTAAAGCTTTTTTGAGCTTACAAGAAGTAACATGAGTAAGCATCACATTCACAAGTCACAGCAACTCCATGGAACAAGAGTAACCATGCAACAACAAGAAAATTTAAGTCCCAGGAGAAACACAGTATTAAAGCTGAGAAGCGACAAATAGTTGTATTTGATGAGAATTTCCCTTGCATCATCCAGACATGGATACAAACAGGTTTCAAAAAGGTAGCAATAATATATGTTGTGGTATACTTGGTGATATGCACAGCAGAAGAAAGAACTCACGCTACCAGTGAAGTTTGAAGCTAAGTCACAGAAGTTCCCAGGTCAATGGTTCAAGGAACCAGAATGAGGAATGGGGGATGCCATCTTCCAAAAACATGGGATGACAGGGTACCTGCTGGTTACAGGTATGGGTTGAGAACTAAAATGTTTTTGGGACGATACATTCAGAACAAGACAAGATTGGAGACGACTGGGCAGCGATGTTTGCACGATAAGAGAGCCTACCATTAGCACTTCAATCTTACCCAGTCACTTCTCCTTTCTCTCTATGTTGTGAACTCGGCCAGGTGGGCTGGGCTGGCCCATTAACACATTAATCCCACGTTAATCCTACCTCTTATTTTCCTACATGGCTCGCAGCCTCTGCTATCCTCAGCTGCCGACATCACTGGCCCCACGAGCAAGTCGACTCGAGGGCATTGACCGCATCTCCGTCACCATCCATTCCTCTCTTCACCACCTCCCCCTTCTGCTCGAGCTTTGTCTGCTGGCCGAGGCGACGCCATGGATCCCATAGACCAAGCAGCGACCCATCGATGTCTGAGATGACCTAGGCAGCGACCCTCAACCAGGGACAAAGTTCCCAGAACTTGGAACGCTGGCTTGTCCCGTGAACCAGGTTACTTAGGTATGTTTACGGCTGTCTAACTAGGTCATGTTTACCACTTTCTAACTAGGTTATTATTTTTCCTTTCTTGTTTTCTGGCAAATAGACACCTGAGTCCCAAAAGTAGCCATGACACAACCATCTCAGTATGCATTCAGACAGCAAAGTCTTCCTTGCATTCTGATGGTGATGGCGGATAAGCTACTGAAGTGGTGGATGAGCACATGAAGGCATGAGCAGCAGCAGCTCCTACCAGCCTTATGCCACGTAGAGTCCACATGCACAGTGCCTGCCGCCCACTAGTCAGATTCACCCCTCATGACATCCCACATGCACCGCTCGTGGCAGATGAGCTCATAATAGCATGGCCCTAAAGATGATGGAGATTATGCAACTAGTTTTGGACAGGGAGATCAACAACATCAGTTCGAAAATCTCCAAAGCTAGAGTAGGAGGATCAGATTTAGAAGCATGTAGTTTTCCCAGTCCACTGGTAGAGGCCTGTGTGCCCTATGGTGCGATGATGGCGGGATTAGTCACATGAAGAACTTACATATGTTGAATTCAGCAAATAAGAACACACACTCCAGCCATAGCACCTCCATGTTAACACTTTTATTACAAAGTGAGCACAAAACTGTAAGTGGGGTGCTATGCGTATGTAGGCTCACTCGGTCACTCCTCAGAAGAGTTGGACCAATGCACATTTTAGAAGCTAGGATGCTCCAGTTGGTATCAGAGCAGAAGATTCACTGTATGAGTGCGTATGCATTTGAGCTGCCAAGGGTGCTAGTTCCTAAGAGGAGTGAGGTTAACACTGTAGCCAATTAGTAGATGGCCGAGTGGCCCATTGTGTGGTGCTGGTTAGAATGTTAGATTAGTCCTACATGGAGAATTTAGATTTGTTCATGAAGTGAGGAAGAAAGTATAGGTGGGGTGCAATATCCTATGCGTAGGTGGACCTGCTCCTTGGTAGAGCTGTGCTAATTCGAATTTTGGAAGCTGGGGTATTACAAGGCAGCATCAGAGGAACTAAAGTTGGATGGATCAGATCTTTGACAATCTCTAACAAGGAGATTGCTCCATGAGAAGTGGCAACACCTGTAGCAAGTTGATCTCAGGCTGTCAAGCACAGGTGCCTTGTTGCCTTATGTAGGGGCTCTTGAAGCCTCTAGGCAGTAGGCAGAAAAAAAGCATAGGCAAACAGGTCCTATCTTGACACATTTATTTCGGGTCGTCTAGCTTGAGGCAAAATCAACAATATGCAGCAAATCCATGATTGAATAGGTTGATTTCATTGACAAAGAGGACAAATTCTTGAACCATTGCCGTAGTCAAGAGTCTTAGCTAGTGGTGATAGTGTACTCCAGCGAGTACACATGTGACCTTGTAAAAGTCAGGCTACTGGGATATACTAAGAGTAAAAGGCCTCTTCATTTGTTGATTCAGAACAAAGACAAAAGCACTTCATTTTTGTGTTTTGTATTTAAACCAAGATTACTCCCTTCCATACATTGTAAATCCTTCCACAAACTGCAAAGCGCTTTGGATAGGATACCCATATGCATGTATATGATGCATTTCCTAGACTCCGCACGGAAAATTTATTCACTGATGATTTGCAATTCTCCACTTATCAAGTTTTGAACATGTCAATCAGAGTTAAAGTGAGTAACTTAAGGAATGAGTCAAAAGTCCCCACCTGTTTGCTTGCTGGACTGCGGCCCCAGGAAAGACGCACTGCCTGCTTTCCAATTGTTGATCCATTCAACCCTTGCAGTGCTTCTTCTGCATCAGGTCTACATAACAAAGATGTGCGATTTTACATGATCTCAATTTTTTACCAGTAAATCGATAAATATTTAAGCATTCAACAATTTATTACTTAAGGATGCATCGAGTAAGGATAAAATGTTTTAGATATACCTGTTGACAAATTGAACAAAACCACACTGTTTGCCAACAGGAATTTTAACAGAGGCAAGATCACCATACTTAGCAAATGCTTTCCTTAGTTCATCTTCAGTAGCGTTGGGATCAAGCCCGCCAACATATATCTGCAGCAATATTAGATATAAGATGTTTTTTTTCTTTACAAGTTATGTTAGAAGCTAACAAATTAGCAATGTAAACAAGTAGCGCATACCGTCCTGTTAGTTGAGTCACTATCTGACTGCCTTGGTGGCGAGGAGCCAGAATCACCTGAAGTAAAAATAATATAAAGATTAAAAATATGTCCAATGGGAGAAAGTGAGAAACAATTATCAAACCTAGAATGTTTTCAAATGTGATACTATATTGTACTCTTTCACACCCACCCACATATTCCCCCCATATGTTGGCCCTGGCTTTAGCCACCAGACCATACGCTGAAGCTGAAGTAGGCTGACCAGGCCATACAAGATTACAACACTTGGAAATTTAGGAAACTTTAAATGATAGGCAGGACAGAAACAGAGTGCTTCAAAACAAACTCTTCAAATTTGGTAATACCTGAAGATCTTCTAGGTGTTGCAGGTCCTATACGAATTGGCCGGGTAGAGCAATATGCACCATTCATTTCAGTCATCGCATGAGTTTTGTCGTTATCATCTCCAAACCTAACAAAGCCGTAGCCCCTAGAACGTCCGGTGTTTGCATCAATAATAACTTTAGCTCCTTTCACAGATCGGTATTTTTTGGCAAAAAGATCCATCAACATTTCATCCGTAACATCAACAGCCAGATCACCAACAAATATTGAGTGATCAGAAGCAAGTTCGGCGCGCTTTTCTCCCATGCTATATGATGCCCAGTTTAACTTAAAAGCTCGGTCGGTATTAGGCATTACATGACCAGAAAAATTCTGGAGTGCTTTCTCTGCTGATGCATGAGAAAAGAACTCAACAAAACCATAACCCTCAGAAACTCCAGAATGTCTATTACGAATAACTTTAATTGTGACCACCTACAAAACAGGTAGGAATCAAAAAAAAATGGAAATTAGTAATGCACAGAGGACATACCGACAGAAAGATTTAGTCTTTCAGGACACATATTTTTTTCACTTAGTAAATTTCTACTTCCATAAAAGTAGTTGGTGATGATGGTGGTCATTTCCATACCTTTCCCCTCTTTTAGGATACATATTTTTTTCACTTAGTAAATTTCTACTTCCATAAAAGTAGTTGGTGATGATGGTGGTCATTTCCATACCTTTCCCCTCTTTTAGGATACATATTTTTTTCACTTAGTAAATTTCTACTTCCATAAAAGTAGTTGGTGATGATGGTGGCCATTTCCATACCTTTCCCCAAAACACTGAGTTGTTTGGATCGTATTTAGATGGTTTTTGGGCACGTATGCGTATCGGAACATCTATGGAGGATTAGATTGTCCACCATATGTCCATACATGGCTTAATTAAGATTCGATACATCAATTGACCAGATGGGAAAAAATACTCTGCTAGTACTAGAAAATACTTATTCTCTTCCAAAACATTCTATTAATATAGTTACATAGACCAATAGTTAAAACGAAGAAAGGGATAAACATACACTTATATTTAATGAAATTATTGCATAATAACTAGCATGATCAACAATTTAATGTAGTTAAATAATTACAACCAAGCGCCAATATATCCAGGCAAAAGCATGCTATGGACCTCGTGCGCGCAAGAAAGAGAGGGCACGAAAGAGAGCAACACTCGCGAAGATGTTTACGGTCTTAGCAAATCGCAACATTTACGATCAAATTTATCCCACTACACGAGTCACAACGTAAATGATGATGCTGTAACCATATACCATCATGAATCCTACACGACTTACATATTGTAGAATGTCACCACGGTTCAAAACATGGAAAACCAAACAGCAAAAGAGGGAAAACTGTGACATCCTGGCTAATGCACAACAACACGCTAGAAATCGCGGTGTAAAGAGCCACGAAATTACTCGTGTATTCACTCATACTGCATTAAATGAACTCAAAGTTAAGGCGCCTTTAGCAGCAACCAACCAAATCCTACGGAAAACTAACAACTACAGCATACACAAACAAGAAATAGCCGCAAAACAAAGCTTTCCATCCCAATCGCGGCACAAAATGAACGAATCAGCGCGCATCCCTACAACAAATCTAGCTGAATTAAAGAGATCCGGTACGGACAAGGCTGGATCGGGGGGAGCGAGCGAGCTGGGAATGGGAGGGAGAGACCGGACCTCGCCGCTGGGGCCAAAGCAGTTGTGCAGGTAGCCCTCGTCCATCCAGTACTGGAGATCCCCGACCCAAATCGTCCGGTTCTCGTCCCCGTTCCCTCCGCCGGATCCACCCCCGGCCGCCGCCGCCGCCGCCTGCGCCTGCTGCGCCTGCTGCGGCGGCGGCGGGGTGACCGACGCCGGCGGCGCGAAGTGCTTGACGAACTGCGGCGGGGGAGGCGGCGGCGCGGCGGCCACCATGCCGTGCGGCGGCGGGTACGGGATGACCACCCACCTCGGCTGCGCCTGGATGTGGTGGTGCGCGTGCGGGTGCATCCCGTGCGCGTGGGGGTGCGGGTGGTGGTGGTGAGGCGCGGCCGCCGCGACCGCCGGGGCCTCGGTGCTCGCCGCCGCCGCCGCCGCAGCCATCTGCATCGCCTCGCCGCGCCCTCGCCCTCGCCCGCGCGCGCCGCCGCCGCCGCCGGGAAGCCGCTGGTTGGTGGTCGCGAGAGGAGTGGAGGCGGAGGAGGGGAGCGCGTGGGTTGGGTGAGGCGGGGAATATATATAGGTCGTTAGAAACGGATCTGGGCCGTCAGATCTAGGATTTCGCGGGGGCGCTTGGCCGTCAGATGCGCCGGATGCGAGAGGCTGACGCGTGGGCCCCCGGAGGCGTGGGGTGGGGGGGATTTTTAGGGGAAGGGTGGGAGTTGCTGCTCTCTCAGCTCGCTTCTACTTTTGGGCATCCCCCGTAGATGGGAACGAGCGGCTGTTATTGTGCTATTTTGGTAAGCTGTTAAGGTTAATTAAGTTTAATCGATGGTGGTGTTATCGGTTTAATGAACTTTAAATTGCATGTAATTGGGTTTTTTTTAATGTCTAACTATTGGTTTTCAATAGTGTAATTTTTATGGACCAGTAAATTTAGGGCGTAAAGCAACTATAAACAAAGATAACAAATTACTCGCACGGAAATTAATAAATATTGTCCCGGTAAGAATAATAGCTCTAAGCAGCATCGGAAACATTAAGCCCACATGATATATGAGAAAATATATTATTCTTGTTCTAGCATATCAAATGCATAGAGAATGTTTGATAATGCTTGTGATATTACAGTGCAGTAAAATTTGGATGGTACTTCAAGTCTTCACAAGCCCCAATCTAGCCATATAGGCTTTTGCATTCCCACTCTTATTCACTACTCCCTCCGTATTTTAATGTATGACGTCGTTGACTTTTCGACCAATGTTTGACCATTCGTTTTATTCAAAATTTTTGTGCAAATATGAAAATATTTATGCCATGCTTAAAGAACATTTGATGATAAATCAAATCACAATAAAATAAATGATAATTACATAATTTTTTTTGAATAAGACGAATGGTCAAACGTTGGACAAAAAGTCAACGGCGTCATACATTAAAATATGGAGGTAGTACTAATTAGGAGGCTTTTACACTCCAACTCTTATTCAATACTATTTTTTCTCTCAGGATCTTCATATTTGGCATGTTTTCTTTCGAGTTGTTGGGTTAAACAACAATCCTAATGTGCTCAATCAATCCTCACTGTTTTTTATGCATCGAAAGGAGAAGCTCATCAGGTTATGTTTTCAATAAATGAGACTAAGTATAGTACGGGTTACCATATTGTTCATGGTATATATCCAAAATGGGTTGCCTTCATGAAGACTATACCACTTCCCCAAAGACCCAAACAGAGAAGTATGAGTTGTTTGCCAAGAAATAAGAAGGGGCAACGAAAGATGTGGAGTGTGATTTCAGAGTATTGCATTCCCTTTTTACCATTGTTCCTCGACTTGCTTGCCTGTGGAAGTGAAAGAGTGTTGGGAAGATCATGCTAGCTTATATGGTTCTTTATGATATGATAGTCGAATATGAGAAACATGATGCTACCATTCACTTTGACTTAAACGAATATCCAGAGGGTATCATTTGCATTGCCACCTAAAGTAGATGTTGGTGGTAATTTGTGTATCGCTGATGTGCTGCGCAGAAAAGCTACTATCCGTTCTTATCAACGGCATACTCAACTTAAAAATGATTTGGTTTGAGCCCATTTGGAATAGGTTTGGAAATATCATTTGCAATTTGTCATGGTAGGATACTAATATATGCATGTTTTTGTTCTTCTTTTGCTATAATATTACTAGGGTTTGGTGTGGGCGGGCGAGATTTGTGCCGTCCGTTCGTGATCGGACGATCCCACGGATGAGGAAGGGCCGGCAAGGGGGACACGTGTATGGTCAGACCGATCCTACCGCAAGATCAGACGGTCGATGGTTACAGGGATCTATGCGTAATTAACTCAAAGTGTGGGGATACGTTGCAAAAAATGGGCTGACGTGGCGCTCTAAATTTTCACCGATCCTACGGCGCTTCGGGAGATTTATATGGACCAACACGATATCTTGCATGTACCTTCTTTCAGTATTGTGCTATGGTCTGTTGATTGGTACGGTGGTTATTTGCGGATATGTACTGAACCTCTAAGCATAGAATGGTAACAAAAATAAATACTCCATCCCAAAATGTTTGACGCCGTTGACTTTTTTAAAAATGTTTGACCGTTCGTTTTATTCAAAAAATTTAAGTAATTATTAATTCTTTTCGTATCATTTGATTTATTGTTAAATATACTTTCATGTATACATATAGTTTTACACATTTCATAAAAGTTTTTGAATAAGACGAACGGTCAAACATGTTTAAAAAAGTCAATGGTGTCAAACATTTAGGAAAGGAGGGAGTACGTGACAGTGACAGGTTATTTACACCATGGTCATGTTTGATAGTACAAATTGTAATATTGCATTGGCTAAATATTTATTCCATACCCTTGTTTCCTTTTCTCTTTCCATGTAGTGACTGAAGGTTGCTGATGCGAATGGGTCGGTTGCTCCTTTCTATTGAAGTTTGAACCATGGGTTTGTACCTTTCTCGTTGTCTAGATTAATTATTAATGGCTTGTCTGGCAAAGACTTATTTAGCAGTATTTTTTAAAATACTTTTTTAGAAAGATTTATGTAATGTTTAAGTGTCTATGTCATGGTGGTATCTGCCATGTGCCACGATCATGCTGGCATATTGCTTAAAAATTGTGTCATCTCGGTATTAAGATGAACATCGTTGCTTGAAGTTGATCTGTATGCATGGTACTCAAAATTAATCGATTATTGCATTTGTCCTAAAATATAATATGTTTTAGCCTTTAGAATTTGTTCTAAAATATAATAATTTTTCTATCAACATTCTCTTCCCGACCAATCACAAACCTCCACCATTTAATTTTCTCACCTATCTATACTTATCAACCAATCACAATATTTTCCCATTTAATTCTACCTACTTTCTTAATAACTGTGTCCAACCCTAAAAATCATTATATTTTGAGAAGAATGTGTCAACGAGGGTTACTCGCGGACCGGATGAGTTGAGTATTGGGGTACGTTGGAACGAGGGTCTACGTAGTACGACATCAAGCAGACAAAAGACAGGGATTATACTGGTCCAGGCCCCTTAACAGGTAATAGCCCTAGTCCAGTTTATATGAGATTATGATGACGAGAACAGATACAAAGAGAGTAGTTGAAACAGAGGGTACCGATGAGATCGTCCTCGAGGGATTCGACGAGATCTCCCGGCAAGTTGGCTCCGCGTACTCTGGCTTCGTAAACTTCGATGGGTGTGTTGGCAAAGAGATTCGATGATCTTTACCGCCCCCCAGGGGTCCCCTTTTATACCGTAGATTATCTTGACCCCTAAGTAAGGCTTGGAGATATGTAATCTGGCACGGTATAGTAGAGGTTCTATCCCCTCCGAGTACGACTCTTGTAGTTTCTTAACTTATAGAGATATTTTCCATAATTCGAGACGGCTTCCCAACAGCGTATACGGAACCGATCCGTACATGTTAAGGTATACCTTATTCGTATATTTCATAAGTCGTAGGATAGAGGGTATGCCTTATCCGTAACTGTCGGAGAATGAACTCCTCCACCAGGGAACCGTGAGGCCCCCCTTTGTAAGTTCAGCCGGGGGCAGCGGGTGAGATTCGAGGATTCGGTGAGCGAAGCTGTGTGATCTTGAGGGGGTTCAATCCCCCAAAGACGATGAGAGAAAAGGGGTTTATACAGGTTCGGGCCGCTAAGAAGCGTAATACCCTACTCCTGTGTTTGGGATTATGGTCGAGTGTAGAACACAAGTGCCTGGGGTTGCGAGACTCAAGTGCTAGTTCGCTCAGAAGTCCCCCCTCTCCACCACTAGGCCTAGACCTCCTTTTATACCTCAAGGGGTTACCACATGGGCCCAACAACCTAACCTAGCTCCGGTGGAGAAGTATTATAATCTTTGCATTAAATGCATGTCTTGTCTCTTGACTTGGGAAGCCAAGCGCACGTCGTCTTGATGATGGGGCCTGTCAAATCTTGCCGCCTGACACGGGGGGTGCCCCTGTCAGTCATCATTTAATGGGTGAAGACTTCTGGGCTCCTATTACACCGGGAAACAGGAGCCTTGCTTTGACCAGAGCGGGAGGACCGACTCCGGCTGGGATAAGAGGATGAGAACCTCTCACCATCATTATTTGATGGGATATGTCGGGCTGCACGTCGCCTGACACACGCGATGGTGCGCCTGACATCCTGGGTCCCATCAGTCATTCGACTGGTCACAGACCGGTTGAGTGCACTGCACACCGCATTAAATGCGGCGTGGCGTGACCGCTCGGGTCGCCATTAATGCGGGTAGGTGGGCACCTGGAGGCGGACACCTAACCCACCGTACGTGGTGACCTAGAGAGGGGGTCGGGGGAGCCCGACCCCTAGTCACGGGAAGGGGTGGACGCCGCCCGACCTCGGGCCCAATCCCCCCTCGGGGGAGGGCCACGTGGCGCCTGGGGCAGCCTTCTCCCTCTAGTCTCGGCCAGGGAGTGGCCGCCGCCCTACCTCGGGCCCGATCCCCCTCGGGGGAGGGCCACGTGGCATTGGGGGGCAGCCTCCTCCAACTAGTCTTTGGGAAGGAGTGGCCGCCACCCCATCTCGGGCCTCACTCCCCTCGGGGGAGGGCCACGTGGCCTTAGGGGGCAGCCTCCTCCGACTTGTCTATGGGAAGGAGTGGCCGCCACCCCACCTCGGGCCTCACTCCCCTCGGGGGAGGGCCACGTGGCCTTGGGGGGCAGCCTCCTCCCTCTAAACATGATACCCCCGGGCCCATATCACCGACAGTAACCCTAACAGAATGTATTATCTTTTTCTAAGTATGATTGCTATCATTATGATTGTTGTTTCACATATTTTGATATGTTTTCTTATTTAATCACCATGATATGAATATATTGTACATGTGTTATTTTGTTGTTTTGGTAATGGTATGGCTGAGCACACAAGTATCTTATTTGATGAAATAGCCACAAAGATATAACCACAGCAGATGATCTGCACATGTAGGCTAGAGATGGCAATGTGCCTCCATTCCCTGTTTCCCAGCAAGGAATTCTCCTATTAATATGTTAGGATGGTTAGAATTGGTTCTCCATAGGAAATTGAATGGGAGGAATCATGTCCTCGTTGGATTTCATGGGGACGGGGATGATCCTCCGTTCCCCGTCCCCGTCCCCCGTGAAGACCTGCAAAGGGATCAAGTTCAACTATTTTTACTTATCTTATGTGATTATATTACATGATTTTTTATAAACGATAATATTATGTTTAATTATGTGAATTAATGGATATATATTGATATATTAATATAAAACATGAATATATGTGTTGTATTGCATATATAATTTGATGTGTATATATTGTTTTAAGCAGGGACGAAGACCCCACAGGGATTAATTCCCAATGCGGGGACAGGCATGGGAAGAAAGTATCCCCGTCGTACTTCGCTGGGACGGTGACAAGAAAAGTTTTGGCTTGCGTGGGCGGAGATACATTCCTCGTCAGTTAATTCCCCGTTGCCATCTCTAATGCAGACATTAAATTCCTAATTGGCAATAGAGTAGACTAACAGCCAATCCTATAGCCAGTTTATTATATAAGTGAATCCTAAGTAAACTTCTAGTGACACGACATTACTGTAGAGCCCACTGCTGACTCTCTTATTAGCCTTACTCTTAATGGTCCGGAGTTATTAATATATGAAAAGATTATGTGTTTTATTTATTTTTTTGTGTTATATTTCTATTAGTAAAATAGTATACAATATAAGGAAAGTGGATTTTAAACTCTTAAGGAATGTCATCTCGTTATTTGCATGTCACTTAATTTGTTATAAAAATTTTAATTAAAAATTCGAGAAGATTTATTAACATGTGATATATCACTCTGTAAACATAGGAGTTAAAATTCAACTTTTCCATATCGTAACGAAAAAAAATTGACTGTGAATATATGTTAACTAGTTGTAGTTTAATTTGTTTTTTCGTTGTGATATGTAAAAGTTGAATTTCAACTTACATGTCTATGGAGTGATATATCACATGTTAATATATCTTCTTAATTTTTTTCATAACCATTTAAGTAACATGCAAAAGAAAACGAGGGAACATCCCCTCGAAAGTCTATAATAGTTTCACACAATATAACTATATAATGAAAATTACCGTGGGGGATTCTCCCACTGTTTCCCAGTAAAAAAAACTACATAAGTCATTCTCCATGCTGAGGCCGTGTTTAGATTCAAACTTTTTTTTTCAAACTTCTAACTTTTCTATCACATCAAATATTTGGACACATGCATAGAGCATTAAATGTAGACGAAAAAACCAATTGCACAATTTGCATGTAAATCACGTGATGGATCTTTTGAGCCTAATTACGCCATGATTTGACAATGTGGTGCTACAGTAAACATTTGCTAATGACGGATTAATTAGGCTTAATAGATTCGTCTCACAGTTTATAGGCGGAATCTGTAATTTGTTTTGTTATTAGTCTACGTTTAATACTTCAAATATGTGTCTGTATACTTAAAAAAATTTTGGACCACGAACTAAACACAGCCTGAACATCAATTTGTGAAAGAAGAGCGACATCCGCATTTAAAGAACGTCAACGATGGTGTTGTGTATATCTAAGAGCAAGTATAATAGTAGGCTATAAGCCGGCTAAATGCTGAGGTGGAGGAGAGAAGTGAGGAGAGAGGTGAAGCGGGCTGTAAACTTACAGCCGGCTTAGACACAATAACCAAAAAACTCGGTGAGAGAGACAAGTGGACCCTGTATTGATTGTAAAGAGCTAACTATTGTATGGGTAGGCTAAGAGAAGGCTACAAATAATCTTATAGCCAACGGGTCGGCTGTATTATTAGCCTTGCTCTAATAATGTTGCAGGTGCAGTAGTTAATAAGTGCTACAGTTGCAGTGGTTGCATGTACAATCATGTTTATATTTACTGTAGCTTCCAAATCAATAATAACTCTTCTTTAAAGTTTAAAATAAATACTATATATTGTCATCCAATTAACGACAAATACAAGGCGACTGTAACTAATCCGGCTTAAACATCCTGAGTGATGTTCTCAGAGAAGCAACAACCGTAACCCAGTTACAAGTAAAACTATCTGGGATCGGAAAAAAAAAAAGATTCACTGAAGCCAAGATTGTAATAATCATAAGCCCCACATACCCCTGTCAACCAAACATTTCAACCGTTTCTTGAGATTTACCGTATTAAGGTAAGCGAAGATTTCACTGAGCCACCATTTTTAATGTTTTGCAGCTCAAAATTTTCTCATATGAAAGATGTAGGAAATTCGGGCATTTCATTAACACATTATGCATCAGCAACCATAAAAATCACACATTTATTCAATCACAGCTTGGCAGAGTTCATCAAATCAAAGTAGGGAATTTTTTTCGCACACGCAAAAGCAAAAACAATGGCGCGCGGCCGCTAACTCGGAGATCACGCGGCGTCGGCGCCGGCGCCGTTAACGAAGGTGACCATCCTGTCGAGCAGCTCCTTGGCCTTGTCGCCGTCGGGGTCGAACAGGTGGAAGACGTGGCCCGCCCCGGCCGTCTCCAGCACCTCCACCGCCGCGCCGCCCTTCGCCGCGGCCACCGCGGCGGCGTACGCGTGGGCGCGCCACCTGAGGAAGTCCCCCTCCGCGGCGCACACCATGACCCGGTCGCACGCCATCCGCCCCAGCGGCGGCGCGCCGGGCGCCATGGGGTTCATCCGCGGGTCGTCCATGCCGGTGGTGCCCGGGCACGCGTACACCCACAGCCCGGCGCCCCTGGCGCGCCCCTCGGGGTCGGGGGCCTCCTCGCCGACGGCCTCCGAGCCCCAGAACCAGGGGTGGATCAGCACCGCGCCCCTGAGGCGGCGGCGCGGCGGCGCGTCGTGGTGGTGGTGCATGGCCAGGTGGTGGCAGATGTTGCCGCCGGCGCTGTCCCCGGCGAGGAACACGCGGTCGAGGTCGCCGCGCGCGGCGACCCAGGGGTCGGCGGCGGAGAGCACCCAGCGGAGCGCGGCGAGGCAGTCGTCGTAGCCCGCCGGGAGCGGGTGCTCGGGCGCGAGGCGGTAGTCGACGGAGACGCAGAGCGCGGGGCAGGCGGCGGCGAGGCGGTTGAGGAAGAGGTGGTAGCTCGGGGACGCCGCGGACTCCGCCACGAACCCGCCGCCGTGCACGTAGACGACGACGGGGAGGCGCTCGGCGGCGGCGGCGGGAGGAGGCAGGTAGAGGCGCGCGGAGTAGTCGCCGAGGTGGACGTCCCGGGAGTGGACGCCGGTGGCGGCGTCGTGGCCCGGGCCGACGGGGGGCGCGACGAGGGGGCGCTCCAGGCGGCCGCTCTTGTAGACCCGGAGGATCGGGCCGAACTCGCGTACCACCTCGTCGTCGCCGTCGGCTGCCGTGGACGACGCCATGGTTGCTAGCTCGTCTGCTGCTGCTGCAGTTCACTGGATTTTCAGGAGGAGGAGAATTTGTCTGCGAGTACTACTCGTGTCTTCTTGGGATCTCCGCGGATGTGAAGGGCTAGTCCAAGTAGCGTACGTAAGCGCGACGGTTTCCTTGAAAATTGCATATATGCCCTCGGCAAAAAGTGGTTTTTTCTTCAGTAGTACCATATTAGTATTACCAAGACAAAATTTGCTACGGGACACTCAAATATCGTCTAATTGGCTGAGGGACACCGCAAAAATGTGACATTGTCAATGGACACTGTAAAAGTTGTGTAATTGGCTATAAGACACTAGAGACATTATTTTATAATTTTTGGGTTGAAAGAGGAGAGAGAAATTTTGAAAATGACGGGAATACCCCCAGAGGCACCCGCGTCGTGCGTCTGTCCGCTCTGCCATCGAACAAGAGGCGGGGCAGCAGCAGCAGCAGCCGGGGACATTCCATGTAGCTGTTGCATCAAAATGATTCTTGCATATATACACCTTATTATCTGGACAAAGAATACACTGAAGAACAAGAGAAGAGAAGAGTGAGAACGTACGGAGGGCACGCACAAGGTCTTGGGGGAGCAGTAGTCGTAGAGCTTGTCGGCGCTGGAGAAGAAGACGACGCCGACCTCAGCGTCGCACAGGACGCTGATCTCGTGGGCCGCGCCGGCCGGATCTCATGTCCCTCTCATCCCCGAGCACTGGTTCCCTGCTGCGTACGACGACGGGGAAGCTGTCCTCCGCCACCTCATCACCACCGGCCTCCGCGATGAGCACGACGTCCCCATGGAACTCTCCGCCAGCTTCCTCATGGGAGACAGCGTCGGCGACAACATCGCGCACCATGTGGCCCAACGTTGGACGATGACGACAGCGTCGACTCTGCCGCCTCCGTCAGACATCCGGAAGCTCGTCGAGGAAATCAGCAGCCCTGTCTCAAGTTCAGGGGCGAAGCAGAGAGGTGCACGGCGCGACGAACGCCGCCGAGGGCAGTCCTGTCATTTTGAAATTCCTTTCCCCCTTTTCAGCCCATAAATTATAAAATAATACCTCAGGTGTCCTACAGCAAATTACACAAATTTTTGTAGTGTCCATCAGCAGTGTCACGTTTTTGCGGTGTCCCTCAGCCAATTACATAATTTTTGAGTGTCCCGTAGCATATTTTGCCTACCTAGTAAACGGGCTTCGATAAAATATCCGTGGTTAAATGGGGATGCTCGCTAAAATACACTGTGGACGATATTGATCTTGGATCTTCTTATTTCTCTCTCTAAGAGCATCAGCATTGGGTGCCCTTGGGGTGTAGCCCTAGCACACGTCGTCGGTCGCCATTTTCTTTTTTGCCTGCATCGTCTCCCAACGATAGAACGCACGCCTTAGTAGAGGGACGCGGCCCTAGCTCACTTTTCGTAGAGGCACGCAGCCGAGGAACGCGTTGGGCACGAGGTGTGGCTCGTGGACACCGTTCCCAGCCAAAAAAATTCCCCTTCCACCCCTCACCCCTCTCACTCTCGCCCGTGGTTCTCCTTGAGGTCCTCGGCTAGGCGGTGAAGTGGTGGAGGAGCCGCGACGGCCTGGGCACATTGCGGGCGATCGGATCTGGCCTCCCGACCAGCCACGGAGGGAGGGAGAAGCGGCGACTGGTGGAGGGGGAGAGAGGTGTGGCTCCGGCGGCGGCGGCGGCCCTCCTCATCGCCCTCGCAGCCGCCGGTGACGGGAGAGAGAGGGAGAGGAAGATAGACGCCTCTACCACCAGGACCAGGACGCCCTCCTCGGCGTCGTCGATGCGGCCACTATCAGGCCGCCACCATTCCTCCTCGATGCGGCGCCGCCGCTCCATGCCGACCCCTCCGCAGGGCGCCGGTTATGCCGCCTCTGGCCGGCGACGACCCCGCAACGAAGACAACGGCGATGCGATGAAGACGACGACGACGACTCCACGACGTTGCGTCTCGCCCACGCTGCTCGTCGTTTGCCGTCGGCCACCAGCGGCGACGGGCGGAGGAAAAGCGGTGGCGGCACGATGGGGCAGAGGAGAGAGAGAGAGAGAGAGGAGGCGATAGCGGGTGGAGAAGACGAGAAGAGGAGAGGAGGCATGGGTGTGCTAGAGAGACCGAAATGAGTGAGGAGAGGAAGAGGCGTGGGTAGGCAGGCTGGGCTGGCAGGGAGGGGTAAGGGTGAAATTTTTTACCTGGGGCTACCTTGGGCTGGGACACCCATTGTGGATTAGAGTATCTTCATTAAGTGGTCTCATATTTTGAAGAACCCATTAGGGGTATCCTCCATTGGAAGATGAGTTTCCTAAAGAGTGCCCTCAGTTAGTGAGGACACTTTAGGAGTAGCTTTGGTTGTAGATCGATGCCCTAACGCCGGAAGAGCATAGACTACGTTAGCCATGACCTAGAGCTCGCGACCTGCCTGGACACCTGCTAGTGCTCACCCACCCTGTCACCAATATTGGTACCAACGTCCAGTTCCCCGGTATAGATGCTTTCCTAGCTTGGGCTCTTCGAGCGTTCGAGCGAGGAAGTAGAAAAGCCGAAAGACAATATTATCCATGATGTCATTAATTAATTCTAGCGAATACCCTCTATTTAATCATGACATTTTTGTCAAAACCCATTGGAGGTAGGGATGGAGCTCATCAAGCCTAGGCTCATCGAAGAAATCAAGAAAACTCCATTAAATTTCTATGTTGTTGAATGAATTAGTGATAAAATTTCTATATCAAAAGCTATTTATAGTAAAGTTTATCTATATTTAAAAATCTTTGTAACTCCCTACTGATTTGAGCGATGACGTTATACCGAAACCAGTTTCTCATATGGCATAATATATGCAAACCTAGTACTCCGATGTACTAGTTCTTAAAAACAAAAAAAAGGTACTCCGATGTGAGCAGCCCCGGTTGATTGGTCTGGTTGATGCTACACGCCTCACGCGTCAGTTTTGCCGGGGTGACGTGCTACTTTCGGATGTGTGGGTGGAATGTTGTCCGTATCTCGATTTGTATCCTATTATCTTATAATATTGTCATTATTCAAACCGAAACGATACCGATCCCACCTAGTATCCTAATTATTACAGTATCTTGATCCTACTATTCATTACTACACGATCCTACAAAATCTTAGGTGGTATCCCGATTCTACGATCCCTACGATACTACAAAATATTATTTAAAATAATATGGTTTGAAAATAATATAAATAAATATGCTCAAATTTATATAAAATCAGTTAATTATATCAAAACCAACGTTGTTCTCTTGATAAATGTCTCTATTTATATGACATATATCATTACTATATTTTTTTATAGAATAGCTATATATAATTAATCTAAATATTAATTAAATTTAAAAAATAAATTTTATAATATCCCGATACTATGATACGATATTACTTGGAACAAAACGATACTACTTAGTACCCCGATCCTGACAAACCTTGGGTGGAATATGCGTGAATGTTGTTGATCCGTGTGTACCGGTCGTGGCTGCTCGGTGCGTCTGCATGCGGCGGGCGAATGTGAACGAGGAGACACGAGGAGAGGACAGGCACAGCATGCGCGGCTGCCGCCTGATGGCGTCCAACGCTTTGAAAACGTAAACGTAACGTACGCTCTCCTCCGCTGCTCCTGTGTCTCCCCGGCCCGTGAATATTGGTGATCACGCGGAGGACGACGCTCAACTGCCGCGCGCAAACGCCAAAACGGCAGCTGTGTTTGTGTTTTCTTGTCCTTTTTTTTATAACTATATTTATATTTATGACGCCATATTTTTCACCAAAAAATAGTCAGCATGTATTTACATTGTAAGTCCTTAAATTACATATATAATTTTAGTGTATTTACCATGTAAGTTCTAAAATTACATATGTAAGTCATAAAATTATATATATAATTTTAGTGCATTTATAATGTAAGTATCAAAATTACATATGTAAGTAGATATAAATAGAAGAGATGCTAGTGCAAATTCAATGAAAAACTAATGTATAACAGGAGCAACAGGTTCCTTAAATCAATCTACATGGTATCCAAGGGTCAGATTGACCGACTGTGATCAAGCTAATTTTGTGTCGCCATAAATATAGCATGTCCATTTTTTTTGTGTGTGTGTCTGCGTTTTTCCCTTTTACGGAATTGGTAACTTTCATTGATATAAATTTAGAGTGGATTTCTATAAAATCACCATTGAATCGTATTACTGTTCATGTTGTACTTCTTATGCTTCAGCTCCGACGAGATGACAGTGGCTCAACCAGTTAGAGTCCTGAGGTTAGAGGTGGGGGAGGGGGAAGGGAGGGGTCCGCCAGCCTTAGAGAGATGGCCGTGGGAGATGACGGCCTGGTGGTGGACGGCAGAATGAGTGGGCAGCGAGGCGGCAGTGTTGCAACCAAAGTTGTAGGGTCGATAGCAGGCGGTAAGCCGATGTTGACGGCGAGGGCAAAGCAAAGTGAGTAGTTAGAAGATGGGGGAATTTCCGACAGCAAAGAGCTGCTGGAGATGGGGAAGAAGGCAGGACGATGGAGAAGAGCTGAGAAGGCGAGAGGAGGAGATCGAAGGTATGGCGTGTCTCACCGGCACGGTTGGTTCTTTTTCAGCACTAGCAACGCGACGGTGGCAGCGAAGGATCGAATGAAGGAAGCAAACTCAATCAAGACCGGCAACGAAGTTGTGGGAACGGGAGAAGGAGAGAGGAAGTTACGGTTTAGGGGATACACGAGCCTTAAAAGAAGTACTACACGTGGGATTGGAATTTTCTGTAACGTGTTGTAGCAGTTTTCTTTTCTAAAAATGGTGTAGTACTACTGTGGAATCCAGCGCTCGACACTAATATATAAATGATTTTTCTATATGAGGAACCCTATAGGTTATAGGCAAACCATAACTGCTCCTGTCTGCAAAAAAATCGAACATCATTTTCGTATATAGCTCCTTAAGAGACCCGCATGCAAATCTATTTTCGCATACGGGTCTCTTAGGGAGCCACATGCAAAAATAAGCTTATTTCATATGTTGTCCTTTTAGTGCTTCGCATGCGAAAATAACCAATTGTTTTTTTTAATTATCTCCTCCTCTCTCTCTCCCACTAAG